TTACATAGATAAAGTTCATTGAGGATCTCATCTCAGTCGGTGATAAAACACGTGCATACATGTTTGCTTAGGTCCACAATGGTAAATGAATGCGTTTCTTAACTTTGAGTTCGAAATTTAGGAAGTGTGAGATATTTTTCGGTTTGTTCCTCAGTGTCACATTTTTCCCAGTTAATTTTTAGTCAGTTGAACATCTTTTGCGCTCCTTTCTCTTCTACTCATTACATTGGCACTACAGCCTCCTCAAATCTGCTCGGTGATGTGAATCGACGACTTGAGTTAGTGCTTGGTGGAACAAACAAGGGAATTGATTACAATCAAGACACCGACGCTTTGGCAGATGCACCAGTTGCACCCTCGAAAGCCGACGTCCCAAATGACGGGTCAAGAGCGAAACACACTCCTCCAAGGGATGGATTAGAGCTGGACGGGGAGCATGCAGTCACAGTATCCTTTCTGGGTGAGACAAATGGATCAGGTCCGAGACGACTGCGACGAAATGCTAGACGGATTGTTTACGGTCCTGCTCTGCCGAACGGTACTGGCACACCAATTGCCAATGCCAACCGAGGTGCTCATCCGGAAGATTTGCAAAGTGGTGATGCGGTCGTGGATAGAGCTCAACCCGGCCAGTCGCTAATGGTTTGTCCTACTTCCCGATTTGTACCATCTGTTCTTTTCATGTTACCTCCTTTTATTGAATATACAAAGATACACATTTTCCAGGAATGGGAAAGCCGCCGATCAAAAAGTTGTCATTCAACACACGATGGGGAGAGTCAGGTGGTGGTGTTGGTCAGATTTGAATACGGCCCCGGCTGCGTCTAACCCAACTTAGGATGTCATCCCCGTATATAGCTGCCTATCTGTTCTGCCAATGTAAGGCTCCGCATCCCCATACAAATTGGTATATTACGTGTGATTTGGCGGAAATTGGCAGAGGTTGTTTCGTGAGTGGAATGGGATGCGTATTGTTGTATACTGGATGATTGGGTTGGTGGCATGGTATGGGCTTTTTACCACTTTTTTTAATTGGTCTTGAAAGATCAGGCTGATATCATCGCTTTTCATTGGTAGGCAGATGTAAACCTTTTTAGGACTTAATAGGTATCTGGTGGTTTCTGCTCTAGTGTCTGACTGAGCTTATTAAAAGAAACTACCTGAGTGACCGCTTTTGACCAGAATTGATTGGATAGTTCTTTCTTGACCCCTTCTCATTAGAATGTCTAGAAGTACCAGGCGTTCGTCTTGTTCCTCTTTCACCGAGTAATCTCTATTCTTGTCTAAACTGTTGCTGACTCAAAGGGAAGAAGTTACTTGTTGTCGGTCTTTTCTTACGATGAGTATATCATCGATATGTATTTCAAATAATGCAAACTGATCTAAGCTATACACCGCTTTAGTTTACAAACTGGTGACTAAAAGGTCTTTGAGGGTAGGCTTCAAGCGTCTTCCCATCCACATACCTATTTGTCGGTAAGCTTTCCCCTTCGAACTGAAGCTTATTTCTGATGTGCATAAGAGGAGGAGACGCTTCAGCTAAGCTAACTTTGAGGTTATACGGTTCAGTATAGAACGTATTCAGTTGTTTCACCAGTATCCTGCCCGTTGATGATCACAGTGTTTACATTTGTTTGTGTTTGAGAGAAAAAGAATATAAAGGAATTTTGTAATCTGAGACCAGATAAAAATGTTGATGAGCCTTGTTCACTGTCACGCAACAATACTGACCTCAAAATGAACTTGGGATGTTGGAGTTGTGAGCATGGCACAAATGCATGCTTTTCATATCGATGTTTCCATTTCAGCCTCTTCACGTGCTTGTCTTCTTTGTGTGCGTGTGTCGCCTATCGGGGACTAGCGCGAGTCACTACAATGCTATCGTCGGGGGTAATGCAGTAAATGACACCAACTTATCGCTTCGGTGATGGTGTATTTATGAACACTACCTTCACTGCCAAACTTAGCTTTTTTCTTTGTTCCACATGGCATTATTTTGATCGACTCTTCGTTTCACTGAAAACGTGTTGTACTGTCATGTATTCAGTTAAAGAAAGTAAAAATAGAAGTAAAACGATAGAAAAGTCAATACTACACTTTATTGCAATCACTGATAGGAAGGATACTTAAGCTGGTCCCTAAACTCTCTTCGCTGAATACCGATAATAGGGATCACCATCATTTTCACAGTTTGTTTGAGGCTTTAGTATATATTGCAACTGAATATAACCGGGATAGCATGTCCAGACACCGGTTGGGCTCTATAATCTCTAAGACAGCCCATCATCCAGTAATTTTACTGTCGCTGTTTCTTCTCTCTACTCTTGTGTGTGTGTGCGCGCGCTGCAGGTCCGGTGGCAATACGAGGATGCTCCGCCGCGTTCTCCAATTGACGGTTCCAATGCCAGCTCAGATTTGATGACCAATCACCGCAGCGTACGTTCTCCCACACCCACTAATCCAGGTCAGGGAATTGTCGGGATTGATCATCTAGCCTCACGGGATGGCTCACGTCGGTGCGTCTTGCCATTTTCGTCAGTTTGCTTGTTCTATTGAACCACATGTCACACTGATTGGTCATTAGTCTTTCGGGATGATATTAACTGGCTACTCGTGCTTTCTTTTAGTTGAACACTAATGTCGTTTTTTTATTGTATCATATGACGTCTACCGCAGTGCATGCAGTCAAGATATTGTTTTTGTTTGACTTTATGTTTTCGTACGAGTAACATAAGGCGAATAATTTAAGTCCTGGTAGATACTTTCTTTGTATGTGAAATCTGTCATCATCGTTATCAT